ATAACCTTACATCTGTTATATTTATTTGTCATAGCTCAACATTTCGTGGATTATGAAAGTTTTGTAACTGCAAATATTAGTTGCAGTGATATCTAATAAATTTGTATTAATATACGTTTATAAAATAGTTCTCATCGTTTAATTATGGATCTAAATCTAGAGTTTTCTAATTATCGTTATTAAACACAATGTGAATACATCGAGACAAAACTAAAATGTTGACAAGATTAATGTTAAATTTTATACTTTCACGCATCATTCAATGAGCGGTATCCACTATTTGGTAGTGCGAAGAGTACGTTTTGGTATACATTGCATTACGAAATAGTGAATGGTCACTATTTCAGTTTCAGAGAATGAAAAGCCGTGCCCTGTAGAGGATCTTCGAGGACATGAATAAAATAATAATAAATAAATATATTATTATTATTATTATTATCAAATTCGTAAAAGGTCGATTTTTGATCTACAGGCGATGAAAAACCGACTAAAAATTATAGAACGTTTTGGTCTGTTTTTGACCTTGATGCGATCAAAACCAGCTAAATGATTTTGTGACGAAAAAAGTCTGATTTTGGTCTTGAAACAATAGAAAACAATTTTATTATAACATTAAAAATGATCTGAAATTGGTCTGAATTGTGAATAATACGGGCAAAAACAGATTAAATTCTCATATAAAATAGATACACATAATAAAATTAAATTGAATGAAAAATATTAAAAAATTTTATTAATCATAAAACAGACTAAATTTTTTGACCCGGGATTACACTCATCGAGACTTTCCATTTGAGTACCCACATCAATTTTTCATATATTTTATATATTTATATATTTTACAAATACCATATATGTAAAATATATAAAAAAAAATGCCATGTCAGTACTCAAATGAAAGCTCTTGACGAGTGTATCATTGGGATGAGGTTATATCTTTATAAACGTCAATATTCAAGAAATTACAGTGCAATTTAACAAAAGTCATTATTCAGTAACGCAAAATTTTAATTTTTTTTAGTCCACAAGTCACATAGTGACTGCAAGATTGCTCATCTTAATTATTTGCTCAATTATTTTTTTTTTTTAGTCTGATCCAGGCGTAGCAGTGGACCGTTTCTTCTACGCCCTCTACACCGAAAAAAAGTCAACACTGATGCCATTTCTCCTCGGAACAGCGAGTTCGGAAGTAACAGAAACTCTAGCAAAGATAGTTCCCTACTGGAACGTCGTCCAGGTGTCGTTCGGGTCGACAGGGCCTGCGCTGTCCGACCAGTTCGAGTTCCCGCTGTTCCTCCGCACGGTGGCGCCAGATTCTAGCCACAATCCCGCGCGAATCGCGCTTATCAAGCACTTTGGATGGGACACCGTAACAGCTTTATCGCAAAATGGAGACATGTACTCACTGGTAAAGTAAAATTAGTTTGTATAATACTTAGATGCCTGGCCGTGACTTTTACTTTAAGCTCCTTGTAGTGATAAATTGTATCATATATGTCGCATATTGTATAACTTGAGATAACACATGTACGTTTAGATAAATGTTAAATGTGTCTTAGACCTTATATCATACGACAGTTCGGAAGTTAGATGTAACACGAGTTAGAAAACTCGATCATCAAAGTACTAGTACTTCCTGACTGTGTTAGTCTACCGGATATTGTTCAGCCATCCAACAACTGCAGGTACTTGTTGCTTAGGTCACGGCCATCTGACACAGTTTTTATTTTTTTATTATTTTTATTTAATTTTATTCTTATTATTTTTTTATAGTACTGATTTTTTTTAGCGAAGAATATTAATATCTTTTTTTTTTTTTAATTATTTGGAAATACATTTTTATAGTTTTCAAGGCAGTACCCTCGGTTACACTCGGAAAAAAACTAAACTGTAATAAATAATAGTCGATTTATAATAAGTAATGGTCAACTGGAAAACATAATCACTATGTAATATTTATTATTTAAATGCTACAATTTATTTTTTACATGGAAGAAAATACACAGAAAAAAAAGTTCACTTGAGCCAAGAAAATATTTTTCTTCCTAATTATTTTTTTGAGCAAAAAAAAATTTTTTTTTGACAAGAAATTTCACTTATTCCAACAAAATTAATTCTCTTCCTTTAAGAAATACGTATCTTGATCCAAGAAAATTTATTTAAGTCAAGAAAATCTAGCCTCTTGCTCCAAAAAATTTAGTTCTTGATAGAAGTTAATTTTCTTGTCTAGAGAAAATTTCTCTCTTGCTCCAAAAAATTAAATATAAAGATAAAAGTAAATTTTCATTAATATTTTTATTGATTAACATGTCTAATGGGAAGATCAAATAATATTTCATCATTTTTTTTCATTCAATATGTATAATTGCACGCTAAAATAATATAAAATGGGTATCAAATATTCTCGAGAAAAATTTTCTTAAGGTGAGAAAATTTTTTTCTCAGCTGAAGTAGGTGGCGCTGCTTCCCTAAAGTATCTAAAAATCTTGATCAAATATAAAAATTTATTGTATCAAGTATTTATGACCTAAGAAAAAATGACTTCCACCAAGAATAGAATTTAAAGAATAATTTTTACTTCAGCCAACACAACTTCGGTCTTCCTTCAGGCACCCGAAAATTCTCTTGAGCCAAGAATTTTGTTCTCCATTATGTAAAAAAAATATAAACTATAGTTGTATAGTGATAGAATTTGGTATTTTACAATAAACGTTGTTATAATGTAATATAGTTAATGCAAATAATTTATAAAGATGATTTTTGTTTATAAGCAATCTTAATATTTAATAAATTAAATAATTGTCTTCAAATAAATTATATTATTAATAGTTAATAAATCCTTTTATCAGTGTGCAAGATTGCTAGTTATATAATTATTTAAATACAAGCTAGTAAACAATAGAACTTTTTACATAAAAAAAAAGGGTTTTTTTATCCGACCCCAAAAAAAAATTTTTTATTATTAATTTAATTTTCTTATTAAAATACTTCCATAAAAAAGAAAGATTATAATATGAATATTTGTATACAAGCCAGTACCCAAAAAAAAAAACAAAAATTTTATACATGAAAAAAAAAATGTTTTTTTTTTTTTCCTGAAAAAATGGCCCCTTTGCTAGTTCCGAAAGTGGTTATATTTACACGAAAAAGAGAAATAGTCCAGGAGCAATCGGCGCATGAGTACCGAAAACTATTCCACCTCAATTTTTGTATGCAATCCTCTTCAAATTGCCCTACTGATGATATAAATGCATGTTGCCATGGGGCAACCCGGTGCCATATTGTTTAAACCAAAATTGTTTAAACAATTGCAAGGAATTGTTATTTTTCAACCGGACAAATTTTTTTTATATTCTTTGTTGAAATACCAATAAAAAAGGTCCTATAACTTTTTTCGATAAAGTTAATATTTTCAAAGATATGAATTTTTAAAGGTTCGAAAAATCTCAAATTTGGGTACTTTCGACCCATGAAAAATATATTAAAAAAAAAAATAATGTATAAGTAATATTTTTTTTAAATTCTCTATACAATAGTTAATAATATTGTTAATAGAGATTTAAAAAAATTTCATTGTTTATATCTGTTTTTTAATTGTTAATTTCGCGCGCTTACAAGTATGCGTCGCTTACCTTTAAGTATCGCTGTCTCTCTCTGACTCATGCGTTGCATCGGCCTCTCTGTGTCTTGAATCATTATTTATCATTTATCTTAAAAACTATCAACTTTATCAAGATTGTTAAAGAAAGCAATGTTATTAATAATTAAATTTTCTACAATTTGTTATAAATAAATTTTTTTCTGAAATCAATTTTTCAAAAGTTATTTAAGCAAAAATCGGAACATGTAATTAATAGTATAAAAAAAAAAACAAATCAATTCTAATTAATTAATAAATATAATTTTTGAATTATAAATTTTAAGATAATTGGTTTTTTGAGAACATTTCATTCCTTTAATTAGAATAAAATTGCAAGTGCACTGGTAGAAGGATTTATTTGTACCAAAAAATATTTATTAATAGTTAACAATTAAATCATTTATTAGAGACCACTTTTTAGTCCTTAATAAATATTTCTTAGTATTTAAAAAGATTTATTAATATTTAATAAATCAATATCAGATTTATTAAATACAAACAAATCATTTTAAATACTAAGAAATATTTGTTTAATACTAAAAAGTGGTCTCTAATAAATGATTTAATTGTTAACTATTAATAAATATTTTTTGGTACAAATAAATCCTTCTACCAGTGCACTTGCAATTTTATTCTAATTAAAGGAATGACAATTACAAAAAGACTGATTATAAATGCATAGGCAAAATAGACTGATATAACAATCACTGATACAATAAGACTGATCGACTGTAATATATACTATTTATAGGCTAATTATGTACAAATTATTATATTTACAATTCCTATATTTTATATTTACAATTTCATATTTACAAAATTTTACTTATACAAACTGATTAATCCTATATACATGTACATCGATCTACAATTAATGTTGCAACATAGCCAACGAAAATGACACTAAATAAGAGTAGAATTGCATACTACTAATATATACTATATATGTACAGAGATATTGCATCTAAAATTCTATACATTATACTGAATAATTGTTGGAACACAGCCACTACATGACAAAATAATTGTGTATTAAAGTATGTGTGTGTGAGTGAATGAAGGAATGACACAGGACGTTTGTGTCCTTTTATTATTGAAAATTAAAAAATATAAATATATATGTATTGAATTATTTTGTGCCACCCGGGATGGACATGTCCATCCCGGGCAGTTACTATGTTGTTGAATTTTATGGTTCAATAAAGCGAATTTAAATCTGTTCTTATCAGCTTAATATCTGGTACGATTTTCATTGAGAATCCAGTATATTAACCTGATTTTTGAAACCTGACGGAACTATGGAGCTTGCTCCGAGTCTGCCATGAGTTGCCCGGTATTGCAGTAGCGCCGGAGTCAGCTCGATAATATTATCAAAAAATAATTAATGGAGGAAGAATTTTTTCAAGGACAGGAATATTAATTAAATATGAATAAAATTATTTTTTTTTTATTGCTGAAAAACTCGAATAAAAATATTTAATTGTTCCAAAAAAAATTCTAAATATTATTTTTAAAGGTTGAAATATTTTTAAACTTGAAAATAAAAAATCATGGATTTTTTTAACGTGTGTATTGAAACTAAAAAAAAATCAAAATTAAACCTCTATAAAAATGTTTATTATTTAAAAAAATTCAAATGCAAAAATTACATTTTTTTTAATTTTTTCTAATTGAAATATTAATAATTCAAAAATTTTTTTTTTATTTAAAATTATTGAATTTTTTATGGCCTTTAAGAAAAAAAAATATGTCATAGTTAATAAAAATTCTAAATATTATTTTAAAAAATTTAAATATTTACAATATTTAAACTAGAAAATTTTCATATCTTTTTTTTAGACGTATTTCCAAAATTTAGTCAAAAAAAATTTTTTTACTATTTAAAAAAAAATATTCAAATCTACAAAAAATGCAAAAATTTTTCTTTTTTAAATTATGATTGTTAAAAAAAATTTTAAGTAGCATTTTTATGAGTAGAAATTTTCCCTTCAGTGAAACTCAACAATAACAATAATTTTTCCACTATTACAAATGAAAAATTATGATTTGTTACAGGCAGTTAATGATCTCGTAACCGAATTAGAACAAGCCAACATAACCTGCACTGCAACAATAACTTTCGGGGAGAACGACTATAAAGAACAATTAAAACTACTCAAGGTAATAAACAACAAACTAACCAAATTTGTCTATCTCGATCATTTATTTTCAGCGCCCTTTTTACACAAGACAGTAATTAATTTCTAATTAGTTCGATTAAATTAATTAAAAAATAATTGGTAATTAATTAGCTCAATCGTTTTTTTTTTATTTTTTTTCAGGAATTCGACACAAGAATAATTATCGGAAGTTTTTCACCCAAGCTCGCACCTCTTCTATTTTGTGAGGTTTGTATTTATATTATGGATATCTCAAAAGTAACTTTTCATATTTCAGCATGATCAATAGAGTGTAATCATAAGAAAAGTAGATTGATTGAATTTGTACCTGGAAAATTTCATATCATGATTTTTATCGTATATATAAATTGAAAGTCTTTTATTGGATCGTAAAAAGAAAAAAACAATTTTCGGATTTAGTGAATTGGGCTGCTCTTATTTTTCTTTAGCCCTCAAATGAAAAGGGATGATTGAAAACCTTTTTTTATTTCACCAATTGACGAGCTAAATTTTTTTTCTATTCATGTTTATCCGCGTCAAGAACAAATGATCGTAATCAAGAACATTTTCCATTTAATCAAAACATTTTTTTTTGTAGACATTTAAAAAAAATTATTTTATTTTTTTAATAATACTCTTTTGAAATTTTCACTTTTGTTACACAATATTCAGTTCGAATTGATTCAAAAGGTTCACGTATAGAATCACAAAATTGAAGCTTTAGAATATAATGATCGCTATTCAGAAATTTTACGAATTGTACCTAGAATTCAAATTTTGGGCTAAACTATAGGAGATACGAAAAATTTGTAAAATACTTTTTTTTTAGGAAATTTCATTTTATATAAAAAAAGGTTTTGATAAATTATTTTGTATCTTTAATAATATAATTTACTCACAATTTCGATTTACAAATAATTTTTTTGAACCTACGATAATAATTATTTATATCAGGAACTACGGTATAGAATTCAAATCAAAATTACGGGTGAAATATTGAAGGTATACAAAAAAATTGACAAAATACTTTTTTATAGGAAATTTAATGCTCTACTAGTAACCTTGCAGTTACTATATGACTTGTGAACTGAAAAAATTACAATTTTGCTTTATTAAATAATGACTTTTCTTAAATTGCACGGTACTTTCTTAAATATTGACGTTTTTAAAGATATAAGCTCATCCTGATGATACACTCATCAAAAGCTTTCATTTGAGTACCCACATGCATTTTCATATATTTTTCATATATATACATATATAACTATAAATATATATACATATATAAAAATAAATAAGTATATAAAATATATGAAAAATTGATGTAGGTACTCAAATAAAAGGTCTCGATGAGTGTAACATCGGGATGAGCTTATATTTTTAAAAATGTCAATATTTTACAAGATACAAGATAATATATATAAATATATGAAAAATTGATGTGGGTACTCGAATGAAAGGTCTCGATCAGTGTAATCTCGGGATGAGCTTATATCTTTAAAAATGTCAATATTTCACAAGATAATAGGTCATTTCTTAATTAAGAATCTAGAAATAGAGCATTTTTAAATGCCGCTTACATACTTGTCATAATAAATTGACTATCGGTTAAAATAATATAAAACTTTGAAAAGACATAAATTCAAGTCAAGACCTTTACAATGACACTAAATTTCACTAAAAAAACCGATTTTATCATATAAATATCCTCGAAACAAAATTTTTCTTATTCTCTTAACAATATATATAAAAAAGGTCCTTAATTTCCTTGTATCTCTAATAATTTACTCACAATTGAAATTGAACAGGTAAAATAATAAAGATACGGGAAAATGACAAGAAATTAAATTTTCTACACAATAAAATCCTTATAAATTTTCTTGTATACGCGTTAGAATTTTTCTAACGAATATAAACCAATTTTAAAGCCTAAAATTTTTTGAATAAAAAAATTGCACTTTTTTACAAAATAATTTTTCTCGGATCAAAGTCTCTGATTTATTCTTATTGATCAATGATCTCTTTTGTTAGAATTTCGACACGAGTATTTGCATAACCTAGTGGGTAGAAGGAACCTAATACAAATGTCGAGTGAAAAAGTCACGTAGGTAAATATTTACCGCTTGAGGGTGTATTCTGATGGTTTTTAGTGTTCAACAAAACATTATTTCTTGCATAACACATTCCTGTGACACGACCTCTCTCATCCTTGAGCTTGTATCTTGTATCTTGTATCTAGGCCTCCATTGGGCACTGGATATATAGTTGAGAGGAAAGCTTATACCTGCCCCACTTGTAAGAGATATATACATCTCAACAATATCACTCCCCATTTATCTTTCTTTAGCCATTTTCCAAGGAGTTACTCTTGTCGTGAGTGGCAATAAAATTCTAAATTCATTTTTAATATTCTAAGAGGGGTATAGAAGCCTTTAGATTTAAAATTACACTCAATTTAAATTTAATTTCCACGAATATCGTAATTGGTTCGTTCAAAAATTACTTTAAGCTGATTTAATCAATTTTATTATTCAAATTTATCTTTGTCGCTTTGAAAGACGCTCGTTAGAGGTACAGATGTGTCCATCCGAGAATTTAATTTAAATGATCAGTCCTAAGTAAATCTGTTTCAAATTGAAACACGCTTGCTGAATAAATAAAACAGTTTAATTTCATTACATTGATACACGGCTTACACAGTTCGGATTTTCGGCTTTTTTTATTCAAGTGCTAAATGGATTTTAAAAAATTTAATTGCTAGAAAAAAAAATTGTAGCGAGTAAAATTTTGTGTACTAGAAAAAAATAATCGGAGGAAAAATTAAAGAGGATAATTATTTTTCCAATTTAAAATTGTAATAATTGGCATGCTATTTTGTAACGAGGATTTTTTAGAGAGTCTCTTTACAGAGCAATTTTCCCCAAATTTAAATAAAGCGACTTTTTAAAATTTTTTCCAATTTTTGTAAAAAAAAGTATAAGGTAAAGTACCCAGTAGTTGAACAGGTTTCAAAGTAAAACGTATTTGCCCCTACTTTGAATATATAAAGATGTAATTATTAGTTCAAATTAGTGATTTTCATGAAAATATAAACAATTTTGAATTGATTGAAGTGCAAAATAACGCAAATAATTGAATATTTATAATTTGACAACGTTTTTAAGATAGACTATGAAAGGAGTAATAGTTGAACAATCAATTCTGACAAGCCGCAGTAGTTGAACACTCCGGGAGCAGTAGTTGAACTAATAAAATATATGGCAATAGGCACACCAAAAATTTTTAACGTTTTATTGAAATATTCAAAGATTTATAACATATTATTGAATAATATTAAAAATAATACTGTGGATATTTAATATGTACATTTAAAAATGAGAAACATTTGTATTTGATTTTTTGATTACATTTTTTATGGATGACAAAGTAAATTTTCAATTATAAATCGAAAAAACTCAATTCAAAACGTTCAATAATTTTTAACTATACTAATTTTTAGTTATAAAACTTATTTAATTTGCAGTAATTAATACAAATCACAATACTGATCACTCGTCTATAAACCTATTAAAGGTTAGAGTGCTGTTAAAATTATACGGTCCCAGCTTGTTCAAGTTCTGGGTACCGCTTTGAAAATTGGGAGATATAGTTGAACGCTAAAATTTAATATAAAAATTATAGTTTATGTCTTTGCAAAAAATATATATTATTTAGAAAAGACTATTTCATTGGGTGGTACAATTTTTTTCACTTAAAATGATGATACACTGTTTTTTTTTTATTGATTGTTCGGTTTACGGTTTAGTACCTTTTTCATGAAAAATATAGCATTTATCGGCGATTCTCGACATGTTAACTTTAAAGTTAACAAAAATGTTATTGTTTTGATTTATAATTGAAAAAAGTTATCAAAATCAATTACTGTATCATTGAATAATTATAACATGCGCATATTACTCATAATATATATATATACAGATTTTGTATTACAACAATTCTAAAAGTCTGTTCAACTACTGGTCCCATTTTTAGAAGTGTTCAAGTACTGGGTACTTTACCTTATAAGGTTTTTCTTCAAAGTTTCTTTTATTTATAAAAAAATTGTAATTTTTTAATTACTCTTTTTTTTGTGTAAAACAAGTTAATATCTTTAATTATTACGGAACACTGATAGAAGGATTTTTTTATATTTAATAAATTTTATTAACTGTTAATAAATGATTTTTTAATGTAGGATTTAATAAATATCTATTAACAATAAATTATTTATTAAATACGATTTATTAAATGTTAATAAATATTTGTTAACAAAACAAATATTTATTAACAGTTAATAAGTAATTTATTAAGTGCAATTGTTATTAAAATACTTTCAGAAAAAAGAAAGATTATAATATGAATATTTGTATACAAGCCAGTACCCAAAAAACAAAAATTTTATACATGAAAAAAAAAAAAATTTTTTTTTTTTTCCGAAAAAATGGCCCCTTTTGTTAGCTCCGAAAGTGATTATATTATATTTACACGAAAAAGATAAAGCATTGCAATGAATGTTATATTCGAATCTTTCATCAGGAGTGGGGAAAGTTAGAAGGGGTAGTCGAGTATGCTTGACAATGAGCGGAACTTCGTAAATTACCGTGGGGTGTCGCACCTAACAACTTTTAGTCCGTTTGAAGACAGTTATTTCAGAATGCATAAATTCTATTTATATTCACGAAATGGTATCGCTTCTCGGCCTTTTGGCTAAGATCAAGTGTAGTATCTGTTCTTATCAGTTTAATATCTGATACGATTCTCATCGAGAATCCAGTATATTAACCTGATTTTTGAAACCTGACGGAACTATGGAGCTTGCTCCGAGTCTGTCGTGAGTTGCCCGGCATTGCAGTAGCGCCGGAGTCAGCTCGATAATATTATCAAAAAATAAATATTGGAGGGAGATCTTGAGTAAGGACAGAAATATTTATTAAATATGAATAAAATTTTTTCAATTACTAGCAAAATTATTACTTATAAAATGAAAATTTTATTACAACTTAATAAAAATTTTATTTGCGCATATTTGAGTTAAATACCTACGTGTTTTCTAAAATATTAAGAAAATTGTATATCTACTTAATAGAAGTGTCTCTTAGTGTATCGAAACAAAATTTAAATTTTAAATAAAGTAAAGTACCCAGTACTTGAACGCTTCTAAAAATGGGACCAGTAGTTGAACAGACTTTTAGAATTGCTGTAATACAAAATCTGTATATATATTATGAGTAATATGCGCATGTTATAATTATTCAATGATACAGTAATTGATTTTGATAACTTTTTTCAATTATAAATCAAAACAATAACATTTTTGTTAACTTTAAAGTTAACATGTCGAGAATAACCGATAGATGCTATATTTTTCATGAAAAAGGTACTAAACCGTAAACCGAACAATCAATAAAAAAAAAAAACAGTGTATCATCATTTTAAGTGAAAAAAATTGTACCACCCAATGAAATAGTCTTTTCTAAATAATACATATTTTTTGCAAAGACATAAACTATAATTTTTATATTAAATTTTAGCGTTCAACTATATCTCCCAATTTTCAAAGCGGTACCCAGAACTTGAACAAGCTGGGACCGTATAATTTTAACAGCACTATAACCTTTAATAGGTTTATAGACGAGTGATCAGTATTGTGATTTGTATTAATTACTGCAAATTAAATAAGTTTTATAACTAAAAATTAGTATAGTTAAAAATTATTGAACGTTTTGAATTGAGTTTTTTTGATTTATAATTGAAAATTTACTTTGTCATTCATAAAGAATGTAATTAATAAATCAAATACAAATGTTTCTCATTTTTAAATGAACATATTAAATATCCACAATATTATTTTTAATATTATTCAATAATATGTTATAAATCTTTGAATATTTCAATAAAACGTTAAAAATTTTTGGTGTGCCTATTGCCATATATTTTATTAGTTCAACTACAGTTCCCAGAGTGTTCAACTACTGCGGCTTGTCAGAATTGATTGTTCAACTACTACTCCTGTCATAGTCTATCTTAAAAACGTCAAATTATAAATATTCAATTAATTGCGTTATTTTGCACTTCAATCAATTAAAAATTGTTTATATTTTCATGAAAGTCACTAATTTGAACTAATAATCACATCTTTATACATTAAAAGTACGATCAAATACGTTTTACTTTGAAACCTGTTCAACTACTGGGTACTTTACCTTAGTATTTAACAAAATATTTATTGCTACTCAATAAATCATTTATTATTCATTTTTTAATTAATTTTAGCGTACAACCTAACTTTTTTACTCAAAATAAATCAAAATAATTAAAATGAATAATTTTAAGTAAAAATATAAGGGCTTATAAAGAAAATAATCTTATTAAATTATAATTTTTTATTCGAGACACTTACAAAATTTAAAATTATACAAGTTTTTAACATATCAATAATAGACTAATTGAAAAATTTTAACTAAACTCCACTGAGAAATGACATATAAGCCATTTGGGAGTATGTGTGTTTCCAAAGGGAAGATAAATCTCCCAAAATTGAGCTGAATAAAATAATCTGAGTCAGTAAATAGATCATGTATCACATTAGAATTAAAGCATTGCCATCTACCGACAATACTTACCAAAGAAATATTTATTACCTACTATTAAATATTATTTGGTGGAAACAAATATTTATTTTGATATAATAAGGCTTTGTTTATATTAATATAATTTATTTAGAATAAAAAAATGATTTATTAAACTGTAACAAATAATATTGATGGGTAAAAATATTTTTTCTCCCAAATAAATGACTAAAAATTTTATTACTAAATTTTTCTATCAGTTTAAAATCACAGAGGTTTTTTTCCCCAGAACTAATTAATAAAATATCAATCAATCTTGAATGAATGCAAGCAAAAATAAAAAAATCGGCGTATTTGAAGAAAAATTTGAATAATTTTTCCCATATATAATCACATTTTAATACACTAGTAAGCTCAGCTTTAATAAATATCAGCGAACACGAGTAACGATGCAGTAACGTGGAAGAAAGAAAAAAAAAGTAGAAATAAAACTAAAACACTAAAAATAGAACCAGAGCTAGGTGAGATAAAATTTAAAAAATACAGAGTAGAGTCCCGAGTACAGAGCAACAATATCGAGTAAAGTGTGAAAAAGTTGATTCCACTAATTAACGCAGTGCCGAGCTTCTTCCTTGTACCGTATCTCGTTTATTCAATGAAAGATAAAAAAAAAAATTCAAAGTATTTTTTAACAATTGCATATTTTGTGCTCGATCATTTTTTTTTTATTCATGAATTGCTTCAATTATTTTTATTATTTTTGGTGCAGAAAAATTTTTTTCTAATAAATAAACTTACAAATTTTTCAGGCCTACAAATTGGGAATGCATGCGGGGGACTACGCATGGATTTTACCAGGAGAAACAATCGACATGTCGGGAATGACTCGGGTTTCCGGAGGCTGCTCACCCTCTCAACTCACGCAGACCCTCAACGGTCTCATTATTGTTAATAGCTACGGCAGGGCTTTAAGTCAAGAACTGAGCTCTTCTGGTCTGGTATGTAATGCACTTTCACACTCTTGCTCGAACAATGTGTGTCTTGAGACTTAAGCACTTAAGGAATTTAACATTTAATATTAATGTGAGTTTGAACACACGGATAGAAGGATTTGTTAATATTAGATGAGCTTTTTTTGACTATTAATAAATTTTATTTTTGAGGTAATAAATATTTATTGAGGGTTAGTAAATATTTGCTTAGACATTTTGAAGGGAAATTTCGTGGGAAGGAATGACTATTGTATTTTGGTAACTAATGATGACTTTTAATGAAATAAGCTCATTCTGATGATATACTCATCGAGACCTTTCATTTAAGTACCCACATGAATTTTTACATATATTTTATATTTATGATATATATGATATATATGAAATATATAAAATATATGAAAAATGCATATGGGTAGTCAAATGGAAGGTCTTGATGAGTACAACATCAAGATGAGCTTATATCTTCAATAACATCATTAGGTGATAAGATACAAAATCATTTCGTAATTATTGATATTTTTGAAGATATAAGCTCATTGCGATATTACACTCATTGAGACCTTTCGTTTGAGTAACCACATCAACTTTTTATATATTTTATATATTTCATATATATCATATATATAAAATATATGAAATATATAAAATATATAAAATATATGAAATATATAAAAAAAATCATGTAGGTACTCAAATGAAAGGTCTCGATGAGTGTAACATCGTAATGAGCTCATATCATTAATATCCTCATTAGTTTACAAAATACAATAGTCGTTCCTTAATTATTAACATTTCCCTAAACATAAGACCATTCTGATGTTACACTCATCGAGACCTTTCATTTGAGTTATATATATATATATATATATATTTATATATATATATATATGATGTTTATAAAATATATAAATATATGAAAAATTGATGTAGGTATTTAAATGAAAGGTCTTGATGAATGTAACCTCAGAATGAGCTTATTTCGTTAAAAACATCATTAATTAGCGAAATACAATGTTCTTTTTTTAATTATTGACATTTTCGCAATTATGAGTCCATTCTGATGTTATTCTCATCAAGACCTTTCATTTGAGTACCCACATGAATTTTTTCATATATTTGATATATATGATATTTATGAAATATATAAAATATATGAAAAGTGCATGTGGGTACTCAAATGAAAGGTCTCGATGAGTGTAACCTCAGAATGAGTTTATTCCGTTAAAAACATCATTAGTTAACAAAATAAAACATTCATTTCTCTCCTTGAGTATTCTATCACTGCGTACAACAGTAGTTAAGCAATATATTTTACATTACTGCAGAAACTTGTGTATTGTTTGAAAATCTCTGTATTAAGAAATCTTGTTTGCAAGGAGGAAAATTGGAAGCATCTGGGAGGTAAAGATTTTGGTGGAAACACTAAAACGGGTTTACATGAGGATTTTATGTTTACTCGACAAGAAATTGGTTGTTTGGCTATGGTTCGGTAAATATTTGCGAAATAACAAATTTGCGGATAATGAGAGAAGGGTTGAATAGAAATATTTGTCAGGTAAATACTGTCGAGAGAAAAAATACGATTAACTAACCTTAAAATGTTTGAGGAACTAACTGCCGAAACTTTATTTGTTACGCAGCTAATTAAAATTATTTTTACGCTCATATTTTTATTTTTAAACTCACAATTTCTTAACAATTTTTGGTTCTGTTACAATATTGTATGTCACTTATAACTCCTGTTACTTTTCTAGGTAGTAGTACTTAGTTCCTCCGCTAGGTGGCTACCGTTTCTCGCTTGTAGAAAAATCTTACCAGAGTATATAAAAGCCCAAAAAAATTAAATTATAAAAATTATGAAAAATCCGAATAAATAAATATTTATTGAATGTTAAAAAATCTTTATTAAAATTTAATAAATTAAATAATTGTCTTAAAAAAAATTAAATTATTTATATTTAATAAATCCTTCTATCAGTGTATATAAAATTGTCCAATTAATTAAGCAAATTATTTTTAAATTCAAAAATTTTCATGCGTTTCATACCATTTAATTTTGACAGCATCTTAAAAGCCTATATAATTATAATTCAAAAAGGGTGTATCGGTTAAAAAATCCTATAAATAATTTATCGAATTTTTCTGGGCAATAAATTCAGATACTAAGTGCGCAATAAAATTGAATTGCTAACACGACACACTTAAAAATGATTTTTCCTTCACAATACCGTCATCCTTGACGTGAAGCGCTGCCGTAAAATATATCGTGCAGAATAAAAGCGACGTTAAAATTAATTATCCCGGTTCCGAATAGAAAATGATCATTAATAACTAAATCTTGGGCATCGCGTTAGAAAAAAAAAAATAAGAAACACAAAAGACAAGATAATCAATATGATGGTTGAATTTTAGCAGTAACGTGACTATTAGTGCCCGGTGCTGTCAGGAAATCGATTAAAGAAGAATACAACATCTATTGGGGCAATCTTGTATTGGCTATCGGGTATTGGAGCTGCTTGAAACACGTCTATTGTTACACTAGGATAGCGTGCAGTGAATTTATATGTATATTCAGGGTACGTTCTAGTGACTAGAAACAAGTAACCCGTCCATTATCCAGCGCTATAAAAAATTAACCGCTAGTTCGTCGTCCGTATTGGAGCGAGGGTTTAACTCGGAACTGTTCGATACTTTTTGTGTTTTTTATTTTGTGACACAACAAACTATAGATTTTTTAGGGGTTGCACGCACAAAAAAAATGTTTTTTTTCTAAAGAGCCTTGTCAATTTAATATATGAAAATTAAAAATTTTTTTAATTGAAATGTTATTGTAAATTATAATTAGTATTTTGGTTGACTGGTGGGACATTTGACTCTGGAATTCCATCAATTATATATAATTATCTGACTGAAATTTATACTATAGTAAAATTTATCTTATAATATAGAAGAATAACTAATTAACAAGATCCCTTTGTCAAAAACCTCCATTACTTTTTAAGTTTCTCGTAATTATCATTTGACTGAGTGTGACTGGTGGGACTAACAACAAATCCTTCTCTCTTACCAAAGGTATACTTAAAGTCCAATTTCAGTTCTTGCACTAAACTGAAAAAAAATACTTCCCTCGAAAATACTAAATTTATCCTACAAACATTGAATATTATGAAGAATTAGACTGATTACCTACGTAGAAACAATTAAAAAAATTTGTTTTTATTGTGACTGGTGGGACAGGCATTTGTGACTGGTGGGACAAGTACAAAATGTCTACATCAAGTTGTTTATTAAAAAGACTTTTATATTATTTCAACCTTACAAACATTATTGTTTATATTCTAATGAAGCAAACTCTGATGAAACTTTGACGCTGAGCAATGTACACGGAAAAAAAAACTGAAGGAATTTTTACTATTTCACCATAGTAATTTTTATTAAATAAAATAGTAGCGGTGGACTATACTTCTTATTTTGTAATTTTTACAATCTACTATTGTAAATTTTATCCAACAAACAACACTAGCAAAAGACTTAAAAAGTCGAATATTATAGACCAAATTATACAATATGTGTTTGTGAACTTTACAATTCAACTATTGTAAAAATTCACAGTCGGTTTTTTTAAAATAAATTTTAGGGAGAGAGAGAGATAGGAGGTTAGGCTAATTGATACTGTATATATTTAATAACTTGTATTTATTATATTAAGTTAATTTATGTTTTATTTGATTTCAGTCTAATTGTAAAATAAACATTAATTTGTTCAATTTTAATTAATATCTAATATTATTTAGTGTTTCATAAATTCTTTACTGATAATACACCGATACGGAGTTACTGTACACCGCTGTAACACCGGTAACACCGATTTAACACCGAATTTTTAACACCGCCGAGAACCATTTTAACACCGGTGTTAATTGACCGGTGTTGCACAGCGGTGTTAAAATGAGTCCATTTTAACACCGCTTTTTTTACAGTGTATGTTAGTTAATAACAAACATAAAATGAATTTGTTGTTAAAACTATTAAAACAACAATTGACCCGGATACAAATTAGTACGGCGGAAAAGTTATTAGGATAAAAAAAATCGATTTTCTTATTGATTAAAAAAAATCTTCTTTACAAATTAGTAAAATATGAATTTTTAATAATAAATTAGGAATAAATTAGAATTAATTAGAGAAATTTTACTATTTTAGTCAGAATTTCAATTAAAAATTTTTCTAAACATTATATATTCCAAAAGTAAGCATAAATTTTGCGTATATATTTCATTTATAAAAAGTACCTCAACACAAAAATTTAAGTGGACGTTTTGTCACGGGACTTTTTGTTTTATCGAACACTTTACTGTCAACATTTAAGTATATCCATATGTCGATTACTTTTTATCCCAGATATGTTATCCTTGATGTTTTATTCTCGATACTTTGTACACACGTGTGTCAATTTTAAAAACAAAAAAGCAACACTGTTTTGACCTGGTTGTTATTATCATTAGTATTGTTATTATTATTAATATTATATATTTACACTCGCATATGTCCGAAATGAGGCAAAAAGAACCGAAAGAACAGTAGAGAAGGATATAAATTTTTAAATAACCGTAGAGTGAATTCTACTGGAAACAATTTTTCCAATTTATTAAAAACGTTTTTGTTTGACAAGCACATAAATACTGATGATAAATAAACTTTATAGATAATTAAAAAATGAAAATCCACAATGTTAGTTTTAATAAAAGAAGTCATTGCTTTTTTAAAATGTGTGTTAATAATTTTTTTTTTTTTAATATATATAAAGTTCAAACAGCATCTGGCTATCAATGCAACTTTTATTTACTCGTCTGAAATTTTTCTATAACGCCTTAATTTTTTTTATTAAATTGTAAAATAAATATTTTTTAGAATTTATCAAAATAATATTTCGATCAAAATAAAATAACTATCTACAGTAAGAATTTTTTTTCTTATATTTATCTATTGAGTTATTTAATTGACAGAAGAACCTTCAATTTTTTCTACATTAAGTAATTAAGTCGGTGAATTTTTTTCAATCCTTAGACAGAAAAAAAATTCTCACCCTCACCCTTTTTCGTATAAATTTTTTTTGTCCCGAATCAAATATAAAGGCGCCTAAGATAAAATTAAGTCAAGAGATTCAAGACATTTCTTCTTAAAAATAATGAACAAATAAATTCTGGATTAATTTAAAATTTTTTAAGGGGTTATAAGCACTTTAAATTTTTATTTCATTTTTGTAATGTAGATATATTTAAGTAGATACAAAAAAAATTGAATGTCAATTGGGGAAGTATTTTCAAAGTTATACGGATATTTGTAAAGCCTAATCGGAGCGTGTCGCACAAAAATGGGGCTCAAGCCGAATAACTTCAAACACTGTTTTCTCACAGCTGTATTTTAAAAGTTGGTGAGTAAGATTTATCGAAAAACGGTTCAACCGATCAGTCTCTAATTTTTACACTATTTTCTCAACTATATTTTTCAGTAATCGATCCAAGGATTAATAATTCCGATAAATATATTATATTTTTGTAAAAAATTTAAAGCTAAAATTTTCATTTAAAATCGATATTTTTTTTTAACCCGCCTTTTTGTTAAGACTAGATATTTCAACAGTTCCTTCAATTAATCACTAGATAATATTTTATATCAACGAAATTTTTTCGGATTTTTGCATACCGATGACTCAAATCGGCAATATCAGTTTGAGTTTAAATTCTGACTAAAAAATAAGGAATACGGGGAAATTGATCATTAAATAATTGTCTTTAAATAAATTAAATCATTAATAGTTAACAAATCCTTCTATTAGTATATAATTTAAAAAATTTTAAGTTCAAAAAATTTTTATGATTTTTTTTTCCATCAAAATGATCTAAAAAACATAAACTTTCACCTACTATTAAATTTACGCTCGAACATCCTTATATCTTCCAACTCGTATCACTTCAAAGGGAAAAAACTTGAATTTCGACATAAAAAAATAAATCATACCTCGCATTTATATTACTTTTGATATTTCCTCGGTACAAATATCTAAATATTAGCTCTGCCAAGAACAAGTGTTGAATTTATATTTATATTTCAAGATCTCATTCACGTTCAATCACAAAATCGTTCTGCACGTACATACTTTTTGTTTCTCTTCGCTTGACGTCATATTACAGATTATGTATTACATCTCACATCCCACATATCAGATTGCATGAAAAAAAAAATTTAAGTTATGTACACAAAATATAATATACAATATATTCGAATGTCTGCAACAGACGAGTGAAGATTTTGCATCAGAGCTGAACAAAAGAGGTGTCACGATGTCACGATTCGCAGCCCAAACATTTGACGCGGTTTGGTCGATAGCAGTGTCTCTCTCAAACACTGAATTAATATTAAATGAACGCAACACGAGTATTGCTGAGTACACACACGCACGGAAGGATATTGCTTATGACCTGCTCAACGAATTGAAAAATCAAAATTTCCTCGGCGTTTCCGTAAGTTTTTTATCTTTAAAAATATAAGATTAATTTTTTCTCTCGCTCATTCAAATTCAAATCGCGCTATTTTTTTATTAATATTATTTATTAGTTTAATAACTATCGAAGTTTTTTCATGAATACTTATCACGTTATTTCTTTATTTTCTTTCAGGGGCCAGTTTCTTTCGATGGAGCTGATCGAGTTGGAATTACCGCATTTTATCAAATGCACAGTAAGGATATTTTTTATAAATAAATTTTTTTTTTTAATTATAAAAACAAATTGAATTTTCTCACGAAGAGAAAAAATGTACTTTTTCCTAATCTAGAAAACTTTTGTGACATTTTTGAAGATATAAGCTCATCTTTATGTTACACTCATCGAGACCTTTCATTTGGGTACCCACATGAATTTTTCATATATTTTATATATTTATATATTTCACAAATATCATATATATAAGATATATGAAAAAATTTATGTGGGTACTCTAATGAAAGGTCTCGATGAGTTTAATATGGAGGTGAACTTATATCTTTAATAACATTATTAGGTAACAAGATACAACGTAATTTCTCAACTATCGATATTTTTTAAGATATAAGCTCATTTTAATATTGTAATCATCGAGACCTTTCATTTGAGTACCCACATCAATTTTTCATATATTTTATATATTTGATATATATAATATATGTCAAATATATAAAATATATGAAAAATGCATGTGGGTACTCTAATGAAAGGTCTCGATGAGTGTATTACTAAGATGAGCTTATATCTTCAAAAATTTCAATAAAAGTCTTCTAAATTTAGCAATAAACAATTTTTATTTCTTTAGCAAAAAATTAAAATTGCTTAAAATTTTCAACAAATAAATTTCTTACAACATTGCTCATTTAAAAAAAAAAAAAATTTTCTTCAGTATAGTGCTTGGTTTCTCCGCTAGATGGCTAACGTCTCTCGCAAGTAGAAAAATCTTATCAGAGTATAATATAAGCTCGAAAAATAATCAATTCTCTTTTGTAATGTGACCTTAAAACTTTTAAGAAAACATTTATCTTTAATCGAGTTTATTTTCATCTTTATTTTCCCGACTGTTGATAAATCCAACTAGCGAAAGAAAATGTAATTAAAAAAATAAAGAAAATTACTTTTTAAATAAATAGAAGCCGAGTAGATGAAAAGATTAAAATCTAAAGCATATACTATGAGATGAATAGTTTCTTTTATCTTAAAAAATCCTAAAAATCTCTCAGTTTTTCACTCCGTGCCTTATCTCAGTACGAATAAAAAATAAGAAGTCTGTAAAAATAAATGATTGCCCTCTTTTTCGTACTCAATTACACAAATTGATCGTCAATCCAAGTTATTTATTAGATCACCAAAAATACGCCTTTCATTTGAGAGTTTCTGAAATCTTTACTTTTTTTTAGCCTCTATTAAGACGTTATTTTATTTCTCGAGTTGAATTTTCTCGGAAAAAAAAGTTTATTTCTCGGTGAAGAAGATGATTAAAATAATTCGCCGGTTATTATTTTCGCGAGACAAAATTAGGAAGAATAATAATAAGCGAAAAAAAATAAAAGGAAACCGCATTGCGACGGCACAACAATGAACAATGGGTCAAGTGTTTAGTACAGGGTGCTCGCGTGCAACAATGTCAGAACATAATTTAAGTGGCAATGCCAACCGCGACTTGACAACTTGTTGTAGTTGTCACTACTCATTAAATACACACGGTTTTTTTTTCTTTGTAAATTATTTTCATTGGGTTGGAAAAAAAATGAACATATGTTGGATTATGAGTTACGATCAACTGTTTTTCTATAATTTTTTTTTTTTTTCCGTGGTTTTAATCCATCAATGTCCAAGTACTCAGCTGAGTTTAAGATATTTCTAAACGGCGAAAACTTTGTCCGTTTGGGGTATATAAGGGATGACTGTCAGAATTCGTGTGAAAATTTTATCAACATTCATTCTTACAGGCTAAATTAGTTTTCTATTTTATATTACTTCCACGTTATTTACACGAACGTTATTTTATTGTAAAAGTGGGTTTATAAAAAAATTATTAGTAATTTTTTAGAGTAGAAAAAACCTAATATTCATGATTTTTTTTGACAGAAACTATCATAGTGTTACGTCCAATATGTGGATATAAATTGTGGATATCATTCTCGGCGATAATCAATTTATAATGATAAGTACTAAGGCTGCATTCGGAAATGCTCTATCTCTAGATACATAATTAAGAAATGACCTTGTATCTTGTGAAATATTGACATTTTTTAAAATATAAGCTCATCCTGATATTACACTCATTAAGACCTTTCATTTGAGTACCCACATCAATTTTTCATATATTTTATATATTTATATATATGTATAAATGAAAAATATATAAAAATGCATGTGGGTACTCAAATGAAAGCTCTCGATGAGTGTAACGTCAGGATGAGCTTACATCTTTAAAAATATCAATAATTAAGAAATGACCTTGCATCTTATCAACTATTGACATTTTTAAAGCTATAAGCTCATCCTGATGTTACACTTACCGAGACCTTTCATTTGAGTACCCACATCAATTTTTCATATATTTTATATATTTATATATTACATATATGTATATATATGAAAAATATATCAAAAACACATGTGGGTACTCAAATGAAAGCTCTTGATGAGTGTAACATCGGGATGAGCTTATATCTTTTAAAACGTCAATAGTTAAGAAAGTGCAGTGCAATATTTATAGTTCACAAGTCACGGCAGTCACATAGTGACTGCAAGATTGCTAGTTTATAAGTAAGAAATTTTTGCGGCTTTATTTTTTTCTACTCGAAAATCCACACAAACTTCGTATAATAATCTAGTTACAGTTCGATCACTTAAAAATTGTAACACAATACTTTTATGTTTAAGTACTTTCAAAAAATGTAGAAAAAAAATTTTTTTTTAAGTTACAAGCTAGAATTATCCTGAAAAAAAAATTACATTAAAAATTCAATTTTTTATCCTTTAAGTTCATAATAAATACAATAATTTTTTCCATATTTTCCAAATTTTTTTTGACTGAAAGTTAGCAAAGCCTCGTTTTAATATAAATAATTATTTTTAATCAATTTTGCACTTAAATATTTTCCAATCGGATTGAATTGATATTCTTAAAAAAAAAAAAAAAATCTTGGGAGTTTCTTAGTGTCAATCACAAGTGTAGTGCTTTAACTTCATTAAAGTAATTAAATTAAATTAATTATTGGTATAAAAAGATAGTGGATTTTAGTGACAGCAAGTTAAAATTAAATTAAATAAATGTCACGTGTGTAAAATCGATCTCTCAATAATCGAATCGCTCGCGGAACATAACGGAGATAGAGAGAGAGAGAGAGGGTGGAGGCGGTTTTCATACTCATATATCCATAAAGTTTAATAGCCGAGTAGAGAGTTAAAGTCACTTTTGGGTCTCGCTCTAACATTCCACTTGTGCTAAATGTTACGTGCTCTCTCTAGTGTGTACTGTGTACTGTGTACTGTATGAAGTGTGCCCTAAACCTCCCCTAAATCTACATACTACCCCGGAATTCAGATCCACTTGCCGCATCTATAGATCTATACTCCGTTTAGTTATGAAATTTAAATTACTGCCCACGGCGTCACATCCCGGTGCCGGTAGTCGATATCGTTCTATTTGACATCAATGTTCTGTAAAATTCAGCTGATTGCTGGAAAAAATTTTTACTAAATAAAACAAAATTTTACCGGAATTTTGTTTGAATTTTAAATTTATGTTCACCCGCAAGCTGTGAACTTTTAAATTTAAACAATTTTTTTATTTTGTTTATCTTGCAATGATAGGATTAAAAAACCAAATATTGACCAGGCATATACTAAAAAGAATAAAAATAAGTTTTTCCGAAACATTATTATATATTAATCTATATTATTAAGAAAATAAGAAAAATTTGGTTTCCAGGATAGTCATTTGTAAAATCGGTTTTTTTAGTGAAATTTAGTGTCATTGCAAAGGTCTTGACTTGAATTTGTGCCTTTTCAAGGTTTCATATCATTCTTACCGATAGTCAGTTTATTATGATAAGTATTTAGTGAACTAAGACACCTTGTATCTTGTGAACTATTGACATTTTTAAAGATATAAGCTCATTCTGATGTTACGCTCATCGAGACCTTTCATTTGAGTACCCACATGCATTTTGATATATTTTTCATATATTCATATATATATATAAATATATAAAATATATGAAAAATTAATATAAGTACTCAAATGAAAGGTCTCAATGAATGTAATATCAGGATGAGCTTATATCTTTAAAAATGTCAATAATTAAGAAATGACTTTGTACTTTGTCAACTACTGACATTTTTAAAGATATAAACTCATCTCAATGTTACTCCCATTGAGACCTTTCATTTGAGTAGCCACATCAATTTTTCATATATTTTATATATAT